GAGATAATTGAGATAATCGAGTCAAGCGAGCAGTAGGCACCGTAAGTAAAGTATGTGAATCGCTGTGAATTATAGCGTGTGTTTATACAAGTCGTTAAGTTTAAAGTGACTGTGGAAATTAAGTGTATTACAAAGTTTGTAACAAGAAAAAATAAACTAGTTTTAATTAGGAAAGCACTTGTATCGCTGAAGTTTCTCGGAAATAATTTTTACTTGAAATTATCAAACAAGCAGATACGTAACAATAATTACAGAGAGATGTTTGTTTTAACACAAATCTACACAATGAGCTGAGTTATGTCCACCGCGGGGGATCGAACGCTGGTTTTGAGCATATTAAGTCCGGGAAACTGCGGAGAAATGTCGGATGGCCTTAATGATATTGTCATTTCATATCACTAACAACAGTTTTCCGATACCTTTTTATTTCTGAATTATTTATCTGTCATATATGTATGCACACACATCATGCAGCCACAAAACAAGCATCAACACATCGGGACACAAATCATCATAACCAGCATATTACTTAATGACCCACCTATGGTTTGTGCCCCGGTGTTGGATGTTTCTTTTATTGGGGATATATCTACAAGCCAGACTAGTTTCACAGACACCCCCCCCCCCCCCAATGAAAGAGTAGACCATTCCAAGCTTTTACTTGTTGTTAAACAACTCTATTCAGTTATGTACCAGCTTTCCAGTGTCGGCTAACAATACGAAGAATTAAATTCTGACGGAATGCTACAAGTTCTTCAAATACCTATAGAATGATAGGTTTCTTTTTGTGAGTGCAAAACATTTAAATACACCTGTTGGATGTTTGTTTTATGGATGCGTCTTTATTCTTTTTTGATTATATTTTTCTCCACAAAATTAAATCTAACTGTAATTCATCTAAGATTTGGATATATTGTGTAAAAATCACGCTATCCTTCCTTTTGATGTAATCTGTTACTAACCCCCACCCACCCCCAGTGGCACAGCGGTATATCTGCGGTCTTACAACGCTAGAAACCGGGTTTCCATACCCGTGGTGGGCAGAGCACAAAAAGCCCATTGTGTAGCTTTTTGCTTAATTACAATCAAACAACCGTTATGAAAATTTTGTAGCTTGTTTAAGTAAATATATTAATTTCACAAATTGTGAGAGTTAATAAGAAAAATTGCAAACAAGACCTTGGGTTTTGCAGATTTTAAAACTTAGGAAGTGTGTGAAAATGTTGGTCACCTTACCTGTCTAGTGAGTACGAAGTAAGCATACATTACAATGGTTGTGCCGTAGGTAATGAAGAAGGTAACAGGTTCCATAATGTCCCAAGAATACTCCCACCAAGTAAGCCGAGCTAAGATACCAAACTGTACTCCCATCCATCCCAACCCTAACCACGACAGCATCACGGTTCTTTTGTGAGAAGCCACTGCCAGCTCTTCTTTTTTCTTCAATTTAAGGTCGCAGCAAGAAAAAAGAAAATAAAACGTTAAAGGTAATTAAGTATCCCTTCTGGATAGACAACAGTTTTTCCATATAAATGGAAAAAGAAATATATGTACGTAGTAAATAGTGTGTGATATATCCAAAACTTCAACTAAGTATTTTAATGTCAGCAATTCTAGTTTGTTTATTTACATAAAGCTAATGAAAGACTAACTGCTAGAGCCATTCCTTAATTTGAAGTGAAATACCATCACTTTTTTTTTCTAAATAAATAGTGGTATTTGACCGTCACACTTATAACGCACCAACGACTCCAAAGTGCGGTAGCTCTATTTTTGCGTTTCCTAGTAATGGTACGCAAGTGATTTTTCGAAACACTAATTACTAGGCCACACTCGGCCCAACATCATCAGAAGTTAATTATATTTAACTGTGAGTAAAAAGACAATAAGAATTACACATGATATTTGTTATGGTAAAATATGCGATTTTTTGTTTGTTTTCCAACTTCTGCAGACGATGGTTGCACTACATCCAATCGTTGTTTCATATCTAAGCTAATACGTGTAGATTGCCTATTAAAAATAATTCTTTCGATCAGAATTTGTAAAGACAAAAAAAAGGTGAATTCGCGTTACACTATTTTGTAAAAATGTAAATATGACCTTTTATATGCTTGGTTAAAATGAAGTTGTTTAAAATATGCCATACATAATACAATATTTTAAATAATTCTTTCAAAATGTTTGGATTTAAATTTGACAAGTCATAAATTTTCAGTACTCTTTCGTTTCATAAATAATCTGTTGTTTTTTTTTTGTCAGAAAAGGGTGAAGTGAATAAATTACAAAGTAAAATGAATTTTTTACCGGTAAATGTAAACAGGATGTCCGGAAATTATTTAAGCAAACATAATTTTGTTTTGTTCCAGATGTGAGAGCGGTATACCTCTGCGATACCGGGATATTTTGTCGTTACCAATTAAATATCTTACGCAATGGTGGACATGCACAATGAGGATAATGGACGCAATAATGCTTTATACATTCAGAAATAAACAATGATAAAATGTGTTTACATAGTTTTCAGATATCTTGTATAATATGGAGTAAAATTTATATCAATTTTTAATTTCCTAGAAGTCAAACCAACAGAAACTCACCCTTTCCAACGGTTCTAGTTTTTGCTTTAGTTCTTCCAACTGACACAAAATTTTTCTTTCCTGCTCCAGTTGATGGATATCAATCTGTAAAGATTCGTATAACCGAGCTACTTGTGTCTTCACCTCAGACAGGCCAGACGCGTCTACTGACGGTGAACTTTCTGCCAGTATAAATAGCGTCCATGATATTAACCGGATTACTTAATATTTCATAAGATTAATGTCTTAAATTTACAGGTACTTTAAGCAAGCAATGAATTTCAGAAATCTTAATTTTCCCGAAAAATAATTACCCTTCTTCTATATTCTTGTCTAACAAAGTCTGCGCTTATGCGCTTATTGTGGATGATTTATAATATTATTGCATAATTATTACGAATATTATTACGTCAACGATGTTCTAAAAAACACGTCTCTAATGTTTGATAATAGGTAACACGAGAAAATTACGCCTTTTACAGTCGAAGAATGTTGTTTGTGAAAACGTTGAGTTCGTTCTTTATAATTACTACTGTGCTCAGAATTACAAGGAAACATCACCCTTTTCAGATCAAACTTGATTAAATTTACTTAATTGTAACAACGTTTCCCTTTTGTGTAGTCATACTGGAGTTGAGAAACGTTAAGCTTAATTAAATGTCTGGGTGAAAGGTCTGTGTTAATTTCTTTTAAAAGGAAAAGTTATATTTAATGTAGTTCATTATACACATTTCAAAGATACACGTAGTCTATATTCAGTAACGCGCATATTTTTTAGCTTTTTAATTTTATCATAAGTAGGATAGATAATGTAGAAAAAGCTAACTTTTCTTCATTTTCAGATCAGTTGTGACAACGTTCTTGTAGGTACATGACTGTCGAATATATTGTACAGTAAAACAACTCTAGCGAATTCTTGTTTCACAACAGCGATATAGTGTTGGCATTATTATTGTATACGTTGTACCACTCAACAGCTATTCTTTTATACAGTTTTGAGTCCTTTTTAATTCACCATACAGTAACCTAAATTGATTTAGATATGTGAATAATGTTATGACATTTCGCCTAATTCAGTATTCGATATTATACAGCAGACCAACTGTTTAATGTGTGTTCGTGTGTGTAAAGATTTCTTTTATTTTTCACTAAAGATGAAATTGAAAGGAGAATCTATGATGTAGAATCCTAATCCTATTATTAGTCTAACAGCACTAACCTGTCGGAGCAGCCAGGACATGATAAATAACGTCATTGACAACGAGATGAAAATCTTCCTGGAGTAAAGATTGTATCTTCGTTGAAGCTGCTATTCTAACCCTATCTAGAAAATATCAATCACGGGATTATTCAGTGAAGATAGCAAAGCAAAGACAGATAAATTGGCAGTAAAAAAAAAAAATTCCCTAAAGCTGATCACGTTAACAACCTGCTTGTTACATTAAAGAGACAAGCGGCTGTATTTTACTTAATGAATTCTGTTGATGTAAGAGAATCTAAAGCCAGTAATTACCGTAGTATAGCAAAAGGATGCTTGTATCTGTGGCGGCCTCTGCAATGAGAAACGTTACTTTTATGTGTTTTTTTTAATCATACCAAACAGTGTGTACTGTAATCTGTGTATTGGAAGAAAGACGACAATTTATATAATCAAGTAAAAACAAAAACAAAATGCTCCATAAACTCGTGTTTTTTTTAAATGAAAAACAATGCTTCTCAAAATACCTATCACCTACACAGACGTGCGCGAGTGTGTCTGTGACTAATTTAATTTCAGTATTTAAAGGCCACGTGCGTTAAAGGTCATGGCTGAATATAAACACACGTTAATTCGTTTGCATTGCATCATCTGCAATTATTATCTGACAAGTAAATACTGTCATTGATTCTTTCTGCTTTATTCCCCTTTCTAAAGCATTGTTTAGTAAGCTCAGCTAATTTATTCAGAGGGATATTTAATGATTTTATCAAATTTTATTAATTCATTTATGTGCTTAATAACTCTGAAAGCGTTAACCTATCGCACTGACATGCTTAAACAAAAATATAACATACATCCTCTGACTTTGGCATAAATCATTTTCACACAATATTTGTATTTCGCCGAAAACCTTTTTACTTCGTCTGCTTACAATAATGTTATTAACCTTCTATTTCAATAGTTAATTATAATTACTCAATCAAATTCTAAGTAAATATGTCGTTTGTTTTTTATTCATCACGCCTACGTTTTATATTTATTTCATTGTTCCGATTTTGCTTATCTTTGTCTAACAATCCTCCTCTAACACTCGAAAAAAGCGTTAACATCAACAAATCCTGAATCCATTAAGACGAAGTATTTCTTTGACACCAGTTAACTATTATTTAGCTTTTTCCTTTGATCTTAACACTAATAAAGACGCCGCTAGAATTCGTTCTTAGAAGTTTACACTAACACTTAATAACTCTCTCTCTCACACACACACATATATATGTATTATTTAATTTTTCTAGAACCTTTAGTTAGCAGGATATTTTTCTAACATTCAGAATATTTTTAGAACAGATTCATGCAGTATTTCTATATCCTTCCAATATCCTTTTTCAAAAAACTTCTTAATGTTTATTTTATATTAAGTTCATTATTGTTTTATAGTGCTGATTTTAATAGCCTGTTAACAACTAATGTAATTATAGTTTTGAAACTATTTATTACATTATATGTAATGTAAATAAAAACAGACTCAAAATACTTTCATTCCAATCATTTGTTCTGCACTTCGAAAGTTTGATTTACCAGCCTTCTACCCTATATCGTTTCTATAAATTATAAACTCCATTAAGCGCACTTAGAATTCTTCCAGGAAAACCTTTTTTTTATGAATGAAACCGTAACTTCTTAGGATAAAAGTTATATAAACCTTCTAAAAATCTATTAAAGTAATACAAAATATACCTATGTAACTAGTATACCTTTAAAACCGGTAACTGGTGGACAAATATGCCGTAAGACTGTTCTTGTATCGCAAAGCTACACATTGGGCTATATGCATTCTGTCCACTGCAGGGAATGGAACCCCCTGATTTTAACATAATAACTCCGTAAAATTACCGATGACTTAGATGAGGACATACTGTAAGAAATCTTTTTCAAAAATCAAATTGGAATTTTCCATATTTTTTGCTAACCGTGTTACACGCACGTTCAGAATCGTTGTAATATTTTTACTGATTCCATACAACAAACGTAAGAGGTTTGTTTTGCGGGATCTGTATTTTGTTATTAAAAACCCATATAACCGCCCTCCTCGAAAACACGTAACTCGAAAATTTTATTAATAAAAATATTTCTAAAAATCATATTTATATTGTAAACTGAAATTTTTCAGAAAGATACCAATTTTTGGAATTACTACAATCTTAAGCACTTGAAACAAAAAGTTAATAGTCATGTAGGTTATCCAATTTAAGTATGCTTTCAAAAACAAAGAAAATGAATTACATGAATTATTACGATTATTTCAAAAAGAACAATACATATTTAGCTGAAAAGGAAGCCCCCCCTCAGTGACACGTAAGTCTGTGGAGGGCACAGCACAGATAGCCCATTGTGCAGCTTTGAGCTTAACTACAAACAAACTGAAGATAAAGTTCAATGGCAAAGCAAACTGTTAAATTTATAAACAGAAGCAATAAACGTTTAATTGCACGTTTCTAAAACGTTTAATTTACATTTAATGCGTAAAATAAAGATGATAATTTATTACGTATAGTGTTATTTCAAATATATTTTCGAAGGTAGTAAAAAAAGGTATTATAGAGTCATAAAAACGTATGTTGCAAAACAAAAACACTTTTCTTCCAGTTTATAGTGCTGCTATGGAAGAAAACACTGACCACAATTTTCAGATCCAATTTGTTCTGACAAATATAAGATGGTTTTAATTTGCGAACACAGGATATTTTTACCCAATGAAAACATGCGTCAGTGTTTGAACTTGCTTTTCCCGGTGAAGAAAAAGACTGTATGTAAGTATTTTATGTTGATATTTTTTCCTGGCAAACTAAATTATTAGTAACAGTTCAGAATTTAAGCAAGTGCTTCTGATGGCAGAGCGTAACGTGTACTGTTTTCATATTTGTAAGTTATAATGAAAGAACATTCCACCAATCACAGTCTTCACTGTTATTCGTATTCTTGAAATCCACAAACCAACTCTGTGCTTCTGGAGAAACAGGGAACGATCACAAAATGCATTTTAACTTATTGGTACAGTGTCTCATATGCTCAGTAAGATAAGATGTGTGTACTACATGTTTCAGGTTAACCTTAAATAGATAACTAAATAGATTACAGGCTTGCTACGTACCTGTAGTGTAGAAGCTAACCCTGTCAATACCTTTGTCTTCCTGTTTGATGTTTTCTATAAATTCTCCTACTGTACTGGTAAAAGGGCGCAGTGTAAAACGGCATCGCTCCTGACGAGATGGGAGGGGAAGGGTCACAGTCGGAAGACCTTTTTGGTATGCCACTGTTACATCTGGAACGAAGGGTTAAGTTATTAGTTTAAGTTTAAGACAGGTGACATAACAGAAAAATAATACCTTTCTGGTAGACCGCCATCTGTTTGAAAGTCACAGTTGAAATCATAGGTCATCAAGGAAGAACAAGTTATGAACTTTTTAAATGAAAGGGAAAGGGGAAGATCTATAAATCTATATTTGTTTTCATTTATGGGAAAATTATAAAGTTACAGTGGAGTAAATATTTGAATTCCCGATGTTCATCTAAAAAAAAAGAATTATCTAACTGTTTTCGATGAAAGTAAGAGGGTAATGTTACAGAGACATAAAAGGGGGGAAAAATAAATTCATAGTCAGAGAAGACATATGGTAGCAAGTGTTTCACCTATGGTAGAGAGTGTTTCACATATTAAATCTATGGCAGTGCTTGAAGCCAACGCCTAGTGTTTGTGTGTTCCGTAAATAATATATATATTATATTATTCCTTATTGTTACTTTCATTAACAGTATTGGTTAGACTGTTTAATATATCTTATTTTTTATTATAGAGATTGTTTTGCATTGTCAGCTGAATATAACTATTTAGGACTAACCTAAATCTTTTAAGCTGACCGAACCTCGTGAAATATTATTGGAATTACGGCCGAAAATACCGTTAATAACGGGGCTAATCAACTGATGAAATAATGTATTATGATCTTTACAAGTATGCACGTAAGAAAAGTATATTTAGTTAGCTATACTCATTACCAGCTTAACTTTTTTATGTGCTCTAAGTAGTTAGCTTGCTATGATTGGAAGTTAATATTAATTCATTTTAATAAAGAATAAAAAAAGACTGATTTACAGTCAGGGAGAGCATCTGGTTAAAGAGTAATTTATTTCAGTAAAGGGTAGACATTTTCATAAGATGTAAATTGTAGGGTTCTAAGTTTCAAACTCTATGTCATCAACCATAGTTTCTTTGAAACATATATTAATCTGGTGCACTGTTCATGGCACACGTAGGTCTTTCATTATATCCATTGTTGAAATGTAGATAGGCATAAGTTTAATTAACTCTTTCTATTTCCTGGTACGTATTTAGGAACTACATCTGAGGAGGTCAGGTATTGTGTTTTCTCGTTACTTTAACACTGGTCGACATTCTTTTTATAACTACGGTTAAATAGCAAACTACGGTCTAGTCCTCAAAAGTGAAAAATCGCGTAATATTTAGCAAGTAGAAGCTGAAGTTTAGGGAATAATTTCGTGAATAACTTAACATGTTTAGACAAATTGGTGGTTTAATACGATGCTTAGAGATACATGAACCACCAATGATGTTAAAACTTGAAAAACATACTCAAAATTTAAAGAATTGTCTCTGTGTTTAATCAGAATATTCAAAAGTTTCCATCTTTGCTATGCTGTAAGTAAGTAGAAGACAGTTTTATTCTTTTTATGCACACCTTTTGCAACACCTTAATTATCAATATCCAATAACTCAAGTTACTGTTTGAGAAAAAAAATAACTCTTCTCTAAATGTTTTAGTTTTAAAAAATAGTTTGGATAGTTCATTTTCTATATATTTACATTGTTATTGTTTTGCCATTATGCAACAGTATTTACGAGTTTATATGTATGTATGTTTTATAACGATTAGCTTTAAAGGATTTATACATATAAATAAAATAGTGAATCACGTGTATATTTTATATGTATGTTTATATGTATTATATGTGTGTATATACATAGTTATATACATATAACTATGTATATATAACACAGTATATATACATATATATAGTTATATGCATACATATATGCATAGTTTATATGTATGTATGTTTTTTTAACGATTAGCTTTAAAGAGATTTATACATATAAACACACAATAGTGAACCACGTGTATTTTTAACATGCAATCAATTTACATTGTTTTTCCATTATGCGACAATATTTACGAGCTATATGTATGTTTTTTTAACGATTAGCTTTAAAGAGATTTATACATATAAACACACAATAGTGAACCACGTGTATTTTTAACATGCAATCAATTTACATTGTTTTTCCATTATGCGACAATATTTACGAGCTATATGTATGCTTTTTTTAACGATTAGCTTTAAAGGGATATATATATACATATAAACACAAAATAGTGAATCACGTATATTTATATGTATTTGTATGTATGTATGTTTTTTATAACGATTGGCTTTAAAGGGATTTATACATATAAACACACAATAGTGAATCACGTGTATTTATATGTATTTGTATATATGTATGTATGTTTTATAACGATTGGCTTTAAAGGGATTTATACATATAAACACAAAATAGTGAATCACGTGTATTTATATGTATTTGTATGTATGTATGTTTTTATAACGATTGGCTTTAAAGGGATTTATACATATAAACACAAAATAGTGAATCACGTGTATTTCTAACATTCAATATGACAATGAACCAACATCTGCAGATTTGATTATAAGCAACGCAGTAATTAAGTTATTGGAATAAGCAAGTCAAAGCAAGTTTTTATGATGCATCATTTTAGAACTTTGGAGTAAATTTGAATCAGTGGATCAGTGAATTACACTTAGAAATCACAGTTGCAGCGGAATGATCAATGATCAATCAATCCCAATATTGTATCTATATATATAAAACGAAATTTTATTTATACAGAACGAGAAATTAGGACCACAAACAAAGTGATACCTCTGATATGCAGCAACGAGATCTGAAAACAAAAAGTATATTTATTTCATAATGAGTTTTTGATTCAGTTTTTTTAGTTTATTACAAATAATCTACAGTTAGATCTGGATGGGTTTTTTTTAGGGTAAAATGGACAGGAATTGACTAACGAAAAAGTATCCCGCCTGTTAAGTTTTAAGAAAACCAAAATATTAAACGATTGTTTTTTCACTCTTTTATTAATCAATTAACACTAAAACTAAAACCACACTATAATTTATAAATCTTGTTGATATATGAAAGTTCAGAATGCCATAGAAGTAATCAAAATCACTAAAATTAAATATTATTGTTCACTACTGCTTTCACCAAAAAAAAAAAAGCACTTTATCTCTTATTTTCAATACAAGATGGCGCTATCGGAAGTAAAGTGGTATCTTAACAAGAATTATGACAAAAATCACACTATGACAAACTATTCGCCAAATATTTTAAGGCTAAAACAGCATCTGGAATTCAGCAAAATTAAAAGAACACTGCACTCACACTAGAAATCCTAAAGTAACAACTAAAAGATGCTCCTCAAAATTAGCAGTATGAATCCACAGTAGGCACGGATAACAGCTTTCAACATGACTAATTAATATTTAAATTCTAAATCCTGGCTCTTGCAAAGTTCCTGTCAAGATTTCTGACCGGAACAAGGTAAATAAAGAAAATAGCTAAATATGTATCATTAAAAACACAAAACCACAAAATAATTATATCAATTAATATAAAAAATTCACCACAATGAATATGCGTTTAGACAGACTGCAGATTTTTCAACTTTAAGCTCTGCATTATGTTCAAGTCTACCGTTTTTTTGTAAACTTATTCCTTACCGCCTTGAGGTGGGCTTGAACTACATTCACGAGCATTAACAATCCACGCACGTCCGAAGATCCGTTTTATCTGTGAAAATAAAATGAATGTATTAAAATATTTACACAAACAAATAAACTATGGAAAAACAACATCGCACTTGTGACTGTAAAATGAGCCTTATCGATGTCGAAAGAAAATTGTGTGTTCGGGAGGTGGGAGGGGCAAAATATGAAGTAAATCAAGCTCGTTAGAACTGTTCTTGAAAGGAAGGAAGTTCGGGGACACGTTAAGCCGAAGGATTTTCATAATTAGAATGGAAATTTAGGCCTATTATGATGCACTGGGGGGGGGGGATAAGACATGACAGAAATCACGGGGAGGGTGCGAAATTAATGTGAAAATCAAGAGTTTAATGCTCTGTTTAGACGACCATTTGTTTTTAACCTTTATGTTTTTATATTTTTGACTCTATCTCCATCTACCAAATTCATTTCAGAATATTTACTTTTTTTGATATTTGTCATTATTCTGAACGAAAAACTCAATTCAAGTTGAGGAAATCGTCAACCTATAGAAACACATGAGGATCAAAGTGAGTGCTGGACCCCCGCGTTGGAGAAGAAGCCCCATGTTCTGACGATTATAAATTTAGTGTCATTTTCTCATTCTACATTCGTATACACGTCTTCATAAAAGCATTTCTTAAAAACAGTCACGATATTTATTACACAGGCTTTAACTGATGTAGTAAATTCCATAATTAGCAATAATAATGTTGTCAAAGTTGTTAAGATAAGTTAGAACTATAAATGATCCAAGAAAATGGATATATTTTCAAAACACGTATACACTCACAGAAAACTTGATAGGTAAACGAAGCTAAGCTGCTTGGTAATTTATCTTTTCTCTGGCATATAAAGTAACAGTGTTGAACGCGGATACAGAAGAATGGATTAGTTTCAGAACTTATAGTAGCGCTTAAAATATAAAATAGTTGGCATGAAATATGGTAAGATAAATCAAATATAGTTTTCAATATTCTGATAAAATTTTAAATGATTCTTACGAGGTATTACGATTTTCACGCCTCTTAAAAGCTCATATATCTTTCAACAATATAAGGTGATCACTGACACAGTATTTTATTTTACATATCTATAATGAATTAAATTGTCGTCATCTGTAATATCATAAATATTTGAAAGGCTCTCTCTGTTAACTCTTTGAATCTCCATCACCGAACATGCTTAACCCTTTCAGCCGTGGGGGCATTATAATGTATCAGGCAATCCTAATATTCGTTGGTAAAGAGTTGGAAGTAGGTGGTGCTGAATACATACTTTCCCTCTAGTCTGTAACTGCTAAATTAGGGACAGATAGCGCAGATAGCCCTGGCGTATTTTTGCGCGAAATTCCAAACAAACCAAACCAAACTCTATGTGTTTAGTTAATTAGATGTATGTTTAATCAAACTGGTAAATGTATTCGGAATGTTTTTTGTTTTTGTTTATGTAAAATTGTAAATCTGCTATGATTTTTTCTTTTCTTTAAGTTCATATGAAAAAAAAATCACCCACTAAGTTAGTCCAATATTTTATAAACATGGACATTTATTCAGGTTAGTCCTGAATGGCAGAAAGACTAAGGTCCTCGGTTTCAAATTGATACTGAAAACCTAATTAATGGATGAAACAAGTTTCTCTTGAAAATTGTAAAATAAGAATAAAAATATGCTACACTGAAAACACAAAATAACAGCGTCTGATAAGACTTGTAAACAATACCATAAACATTGTTTAAAGGACTGCGTTAAAAACAAAAGTTGGTTACATTGAAGTGTCAAGATAGGGTCGCAGACTGGGTCTTTAATGACGAATCATTCCATACTGTTGTTGTATCTGGAATTAAGTGCTCACCGGAATTTAACCCGAAGACTCTTCTTGTATAGGATATTTGCGTAACAATAAGATAGAAGGAACAGTAAGATATGTTCGTTGCTGCTCTGCATTATTGTGTATTTATCAGTTTCTGCTGACGGAAACCCACTAAGAACTTTTCGAAGTGTGTTTAAAACCAGAGTGTCTGATCAAATTCGCATTCGTTCACGTGCAGCTTCAGAGTGTCCCGTGCTCCACACAAATAATACCACAACACATCTTACACATAGAATACTTCAGGAAGCCATCCATGCATGCAAACAAGGTATTCGCTAACATGTATTTCTCTTTCAGCCCGGCATTAAACAAATATCAAGTACCAGTTTAAAAATCAACTTATCTAGGATAACTACAGGAACAGCTGCAAGTACTAGTGCAGAAATAAATTTACGTAGGATAACTACACAGAACAGCCGCAACTAACAATCTGTAAACAGACACCAAGTACCAGTATATAAATCACCTTATCTATGATAACTACATGTAACAGCCGCAACCAACAATCTGTAAACAGATATCAAGTACCAGTATAGAAATCAACTTATCTATGATAACTACATGTAACAGCTGCAACCAACAATCTGTAAACAGACATCAAGTACCAGTATAGAAATCAACTTATCTATGATAACTACATGTAAGAGCTGCAACCAACAATTTGTAAACAGACATCAAGTACCAGTATAGAAATCAACATATCTATGATAACTACATGTA